CGTGTCTCAATTGTTTAAAATGATTTAAAGCCAGCTCTTCCCAAATAATGGACTTGAAAGCAGTTGTATAGTCGACTACAGAATGATGTTCCACTCCTCAGAAGCTATCAGTTGACCGGAGCGCTAAGTTGTGCCGTTTATCACGCAATTAAGCGTGTCGATTGTGAGCATTGGGACAAAGCTATAATTTGTGAGCTCAGCCCGTGTGATGCGGCACAGCCTTCCACTCCAGGCAAATAATTGACTGTGAAAAGTGGAACATCATTCTGTAGTCGACTAAATATACATAGTTGATAGTTTGTTATTTAGTGCTTGTCAAGCAAAAGCAACGCAGTTGCGCTTAGGTTAGCTCTGTGGTGACGCTGCAGCACTTATTTGGTAAAGTACCATATGCGTGATGTCACAGTAAAATCGGTGGCTGAAACATTAACCGATCTTCAGAGCACAAATGACTTCCCATGGACACAAAAGTAGCCATTCGCTTGCGATGACAGCTGTTGTAGCGTGCGTGCTGCATATTCAGGAAAATATAACTGGTGACGATTTAGTTTGTGGAAATCGTGTCATCGCTCCTGTCTCACAACTGAGCGTTTTCCGCGCATTCTTGCACGATGCACAATGCACATGTCATTACAGCATTCTTCGCCCACGCAAGGCCCTTTAAAATAGAGACAGCTTTACACGATAGTCAGAGAAGTAGGTCGACCAACCATACATTTTTGCTTTTGTTTGCCTTTGATGTTTGCTTTATTTACTACAGCAGATAAACATCGAGCTAGGTGAATCTTGCCAATTTATGCCTACTTGTCAATGGCATTGGGCCGATGGCTCGTGAAAGAATTTCTTGATGAAGCTGCTCATCCTGTAATACCGCTTATCTTGTAACGCAGCGTATCTTGCAATACTGCGTGTTTAGTAATAAGGTGTTCCTAGCCATAGTGATGGGAGAGGATCCTTATTAACCACCACGTTGATAAAGGGTCATTACCTGCGCTAATAGGGTTGTTATCTTTATCATTTATCGTTGCCAAAAGGTGGCCGTCTTGTCGGGCACATATAATGCGGAGCACACTGAGACTCATAATGAACTAGAAGTCAGTAACGGGGTTATAGGGTATATGTGCAATGTGCACGTGCCTGGAGATGCTGAAGATAGTTCATTTTGAATGAAATCCTGTCTTTCTCAACTGTTTTATCATGCCTTTTCATTGAGGGCATGAATGTATAATCCATATATTTTGGCTCGTTTTTCTGTTTGACACTATCAAACGGCTGACAGTTGACACCACCCCACTTGACGCTAAGATAGATGGCCAAAGATCTAAATTACTGAAGTTAATGGAATTCAAGCACCAGTGGGGGCTTCTAGTGTCGGCTTCAGATGGTGGCCGAGAAGCCTTATTGATGTGGATCGTTTGCCGAACAAACTCCTAGCTTTGGTGGCCGGATATTGCGCTCTTCAGTTCGAGTATTTGTCTGCTTCCGTGTCCGAACTTTTCCGTGTTTGAGTTGTGCATCGTACTAACGAGGTGCCAGCATCGACTTCGTTTTCTTCTATTGTACCGCCACATATTGTTTAGTCGCTTAGATCGACATGCGAAAAGTCAGAAGATTTGATGATGTTTTATTGTACTATTAATGTGGAAATCAAAGTGAACGAATTTGGTTAATCGGTGAAATATGATTTTCTAAGTTTTCTGACTGTCTAATAGGCTCGCGTCAAAATGTGGGCGAAGGCAAAAATATCTGTGATTTTTTCTATTATAGAATGAGATCTTAATTGAGCAAAACACTCACCATCTAAACACTATTGAATGCTCAGATCCTCTAAATAAAAGTTGTATAACTATAGACTCGTCAATTCGCTACAAACACATTTCTTCTGTTTTCCGCCTCATTTTCACGCAATATTTTTCAGCCTGTTCCCTTCAGCCTGTTGCGTGAATATTCTGGGACTAAACTCAATGTTCCCGCTCCTTGGAATTGTAGTGCGGTGGAAGAAAACAAACGATTTGTGGGGTTGTTATTTTTACCTGAAGTGTACGCTCACCACCTGTGACCTTGAGAGAAAGGAGCACCGAAATACGTAGTCACGTAAATTTGCATTCAAATCATAATCCGTAGAATTACCGGCCTTCTTTCGCTGTTCAAAATGATGTATACAACCGAAAAGTGGTGCTTAAGTTGCACAACATTTGATAGTAGTGATAACATTCTGTTGAGCGTTATATTTGGAACTCCATGCATGTCTGGCTACCATGCTGCTCAGGCTTTTTACCTAGTGAAAGGAGCAAAATGAACACCGTTCAGTTACCTAACTCAATTAAACGTACTAGAAAGGTCATTCACGAGCACGCTTCCGTGCATGTGTCTGTGTAGTGTGAAGGCAGATTCACTTCAAAATTATGCCATTTGGTGTTTTGCATGCCTATCCTGATGTACCTTTTCCTTAACTGTCACTTTAAAAGTGAGTGCTCAGTGCACTTTTTATCTTGATGGTGACGTCAACCAAATAGTTATGTAAAATTTTCTCATGCCCCTTGGCAAACCTCGTGAAAATTGTTTATTTGCTCGTTCGAGTGACATCATGGTTGAGTTGAGTGACGTCATCTTACAAAAACACGCTGATGATCTTATGTATGTTTCCAGTTTTCTTGCGTGTCATGCTATGTGTCACATGGCTACGCCGTTTTTCTACATCGACATTTATTACAATAACAAGCTTCAGCGTTTGTTTATCCTGGTTTTGCTCTTACATAAAGAAACATTTATGATACAGTCGAAGCCTATTGTTGGTTGTGACTTTGACTTTGCTGAAATTAAAATCTCACTTTTGTTATTAACCATTCAACAAAAGTCCAACGCAATACCATGTCATGGGATCCGAACGCATCCCATTCAATCCCATCCTAACATTCCACATCCATTATATCCCCCCCCCCCCCTATACTATTTCCTCACCAGACCACCCCAGTCGCCAGAACACCCACCCTGAAACCACCCTCCACTGTCAAACTGTGCAAGTACCATAACTTATGGGTGCGCCAGTGACAACCCCAGTCCTCTGCAGTCGGTGATAACCGCTGCATTCACGCGTGCAACTCATGCCCTCTGGGACTGGAGCTCTGTTTGTGTACTGTGTACGGTGTGTTCTCTGGTTTCATCGCTTGCCTCTGGAGGCTGCTCGCTGTTCGGATGGCACAAGAAGACGTTTATGGTGGTGACTCTAGGCGAACTTGCGCAGTGAGCTGATCAGACCAGGGGGTTTTCATGATCGGGTTAAGTTTATTCCTGGCGTGGCGATTAACACGTGCTGAAAATCCAGTATTTTGAAGCTCTCGTTTTATTTTAAGCCCGCTAAATGCTTGTTGGTACCTAATATTTTTAAATTTTGGAACGAGGATTAAATAATGGCCAAAGGATAAACTAGTATAAACTAGTATGTATAATTGGCCTAGATAAACTGTAGTCACAACCATCCGTCTCATCACCACTAATGACCTACACAGCTATACACGTTTTTCGACACCTCGCGCAGTATTTCAGCCACCCTAAATCTCCCCCTACACGCACATCCCATCACACACGAAGAAGCAACAGTCTCCGCTCGATCTCACCACAAAGGAAAGAACCCTGACAGGAAATCGCCTGGAGGCATCAGCTCATGAGGGGCGGGTGGGGGAGGGGCAGCTGGGGAGGGGGCGGAGAGTGGAAAGGAGGGAGATGCGAGCCACGGTGGGTCATTAGGTGGAGGCTCATCGTCTAATGGGGCGACTGGTGCTCTCTTCCATCTGCCGGCGCTCCTCCTGTCGGATTGCTCCCTGCTCTCGCCAGGCTGATCCGCCCTCTCTCCCTCTCTCTCTTTCTCTTTCTCTTTGTCTCTCTCTCTCTCTCTCTCTCTCTCTCTCTCTCTCTCTCTCTCTCTCTCTCTCTCTCTCTCTCTCTCTCTCTATTTCTTCTGTCTGCAGAACTGATAGTGTGCTGATGATGCTGTGACTGCTCTCTCAATCTGTCTTCGAGACCGATCATTTGTTTGGGTTTGGGTGCACGTTTGGGTGCACTCCTTATTCCCTCTCTCTCTCTCTCTCTCTCTCTCTCTCTCTCTCTCTCTCTCTCTCTCTCTCTCTCTCTCAATCTCTCTCTCTCTCTCTCTCTCTCTCTCTCTCTCTCTATCTCTCCCCTCTCTCTGTCTCTCTCTCTCTCTCCTCTCTCTCCCTCTCTCTTTATCTTTCTCTCTCTATCTATCTTACCCTTTCTCTTTCTATCCATCTATCTTTCTTCATAGTACGAGCTCAACGCTGAACACTGACTTCATGAAGCTTTCTTTTTCCGAGCTTTTCTGAAGCCGTCATGTTCGCTCTACTCCATCGTATTTCGGAATATATCCTCGTATGACTAAACCTCCATCAGCCTTGCCCTCATCATCTACCCAAACCTCTATATCTCCACCCATGCTTATCAACCATTAGCACCCGTCCGTATGGGATGAATAGATTACCCTGGGCTGCGCTGGAATAGAACGATGGCTGTGGCAGCAATGTTCGGGAGAAGATAATATGAAGGTGGTGTTGTTAGCAATGCTTACTATCATTACTTCATGTTGTTCTTGTTCATTTATGACTCCGGGGATTATATAAATGTCAGGACAATCTGAATATTGAATAATTATCATTCTTTCAATCAATATAAAAGAACACAAAAGTGAAAATCGTCATCTAGCTTTTTACCTTTTGTGACTTCTAACCATGACTTTGTATGACGGTAACAAAGAATATGTAACGCTGATACATGCTGAAGGAGATGTCCATGAGATTTCAATAGCAGATCCACGACTTTGAACATGAATTCAAATTCCCGATGTGCTTAGATCATTCGTGACAGAATAATTCCCATCGGGTTAGTCGTGAAGGGAAAGATAATATCATTGAGATATGATCAGTCTAGGTCTGAAGGCGTGGAAACTGTGGATGATTACTAACAGCCTTATTTTTATTTCGCAGGTGTCTGCAATTCACACTGCATACTTTGGACCACAGCCTTTGGTGAGTTTGGGAAATGATGATTGGACACGACAGATCAGGGTAATGAGAGAGAAAAACCAGAAAGAAAGGGGATGAGAGAGCAATACAGAGAGGACGAGGGAGAGTTAAATGATTTAGTTACATATTCTAACAAATTTTATATTGTTGCTTTATTAACATATGTTCAACCAGGATTATTTATTAAATTCTTCTTTTTTTAATATTGAAGGCAAATGAAATATGCGACACATTAACGCTTAACCGATCATTTGATTTTCACCGTTCTCCATCTCAGCGACCCTATGGTCTTTAGCTGTAAAGTTCCACAGGTCAGCATTTTGCCGCAGTTTGTGTCATTTCGCGTCAGACCAGGCTTAATCTCATTCTACGATTGCGTCGGCAGCCTTGGCCAAACTTGTCCCAGAAATCTGTCAGAGTGCGCTGTTTTATTGCACGTCTCTGATGCATCGCGTCAAAGTTGTGGCAGGTTTGTCACGGTCGCGCCGGGTGTGCCGAAATTGCGCCGGATTCGTCTCCTGAGTAAATATTTGAACTACCTGAGGCTTGGTGACGAGCGCAGTGATAGGAGGAAGGTAAATAGATGTGGGATTTGCCAACGCGAGGGATGAAAATATTTTCCAATAAATCGCTGAAATGAGAAAACAAATATGTTTTCCAAACGCGGAGTTCCATCTGTAAAATCTATTCTTTTATCCTTTGAAGAAGGTCGTCTCAGTTATTTTCAGAACCACTGAGATTGAAACGTGAATGTGTTAGGTGTTTGGAAAGGTGAGGCACATCTTTGCTCATTTCAGCAAGTGTCGCTGCAACGACGTTAAATATTTGTAAACCATGCAGTGCCAAACTTTGGCAAGCTGCTTCATATTACGCCAAAGGTCCTGAGTGAAGCTAAGAATATCACATGAACTATGTGCTCAGGCTGGTAACTAGAAGTTGCTCACTCTCACATTGGAACGTTAGCCAGGCTTCTTATCTAATAGCATATCAGAGGGCAAATTAAATTTCAGAGTATAATTTCCAACTTAAATTACATTTGACAAAGTTTCGTCAAGGCATCTGCGATGTCAGGGCTGGGAAAATAGCTGCCCGTGACAGTCTGTGAAGTTTGCGAGCCGAATGTGTTTGGTTTCTTGCTACTGATATTAGAGGTGTTTCTGTTTTCATTGCACCTCATTAGCTTTACCATCGCTCGTGCTCGATATGCATGCTCGCTCAGTATAGACAAGCAACGATGGTCGCAAGGAAAGAAGCTCTCATAAATTTGTGAAAGACCTTAACCCACGCGGGGCTGGGGTCTCCAGCCGAACGCGCGGGGCTGGGGGTGGGTAAATTTTACCCCCCTGTTATCTCCCGAACTAATGCTCCGATTTGGAAAATTCAAACGCCAATCGAAAGATCTCATCACGAACAACTAAAAACATGTACATAATTTAAAGTTTGAGCCTTGAGGTCAAGGTCAAGGTCAGGTCAAGGGTACAAATTGCAAGTTTCTACAGTATCGGCCTTGCACCTTAGTTGCCGAAGAATGGACTGAGACTGATTACCCAAAACGTGTTCTTAGGCTACCAAGACAATATTCGCTGCATACAATATCATTCAGAGGTCAAGGTCAAGGTCAGGTCAGGTCAGGTCAGGTCACCAAAAACAAAATATAGAAAAGGTCATGTGCGACACATGTTTTATGGGTCATTTTATTCATAGAATTCAATAGGCACACTCAATAGGTGATATGGACCACATCTGGATGAATTTCAGGTCGAGGTCAGGTCAAGGTCAGGTCAAGTGAGGTCAAATTTTGAAGTTGGTTGTTAAGGCCTAAAAAGGTGCCTATCTGATGCAGTTTTTCACGGCGAATCGAATGGTGCTATTTTTGTTTCCGTACGAGGTCTAGAACTTCCAAAAAATTCATTTTCAAAATTTTTGTGTGTCGTGACGTCATGAAATTTTTAATAACTCCCACATTTTTGAACCGATTCTTCTAAAAATTGGTATGTAGGTGCACATAGACCACATCTCTGACATATATTCCGGTTTTTTCGATACACTCAAAATTTTGGATTTTATAATTATTTTCCCAAAAAAGTCAGTTTTTTTTAAACTTTTGGCCAAAATCCAAAATTTTCAAAAAACCGAGATAGCCATTTGATAGACAAAGTAGAATTACGTATAACCTTTTTTTGTTACGTCTTGATTCCTTTAAAAATGAAGATGTTAGCGGCGTTTGAAATTTTGCCGTTTTTGAGGCGAAAATGGCGAACATGACGTCACTAAAACGTCAATTTCTCAAAAATTTTCCGACAGATTTCGCTCATATTTTAAGGGAACGTGTCAAATTGATGTAAAAAAAGGTACTGAAAGTTTGGCGTCGCTGCGCGCCGCCGTTTTTGAGTTATTGCAAAAATTCGCGAGGGTGGGTAAAATTTACCCCCCCCCCCCAGCCCCGCGCGGGTTAAAAGTAGGATTCATTTCATGGTGCAACTTTACATTGCGATAATTTGATTAATCTTCAACACTCCCTTTATTGCTATCGTCAAGAGGATATCTGTAGATATCTGTAGATGTTAGTAAATGTCTTGTAAATATCCCAACAAACGTACAGTTTGCAATGACATTTTGTTGACACCCCACATACGGAAAGCTAGTCATCTTTATGGGGTAAATCGCCCACTTGCATCCCTATTTCTTGGCTTAGCGACCCTCTCAATCCAACCCAACGACCCCAAGACGAAAATGCTCGCGCGCGCGTGCGTCGCGCCCCGTCGGAACGACCCGCCAATATCTCCCCGGCCTGTCTATTTGGCCTCCTCAGTCCGTCGCGCTCGACGAATATGCAGATACGATTCCTCGTACGCGCCTGAGCGCCCCCAGTTTCAATTCCGCATCCACGTATATATCGGGGAGCCAGCGATGGCCCGAAATTTATTCGTTCGTCTCTACGGACAAAATGAACGGAAATAAGCAGGTTAGGCTGCGATGCGCCGGTTGCCAGAAAAATGGGAGGGGCTGATTCAATCCTCAGTGTTGCTGATTGCTTTCTGTTCCATTTTGGGTGTGAAGATGGACTCGAGTGATGCGATGGTTATGTTCGCATAGATCTATGCGCGCGGCTATGAAGACGTTAGACAGTATCATTTATCAGAGATTGAAATATACCCGGCTTTTTGTCGAAGTGATGTTCAACGCCTTGCAGGCGTTGAATAAGTTTTATGGAAGTTTTATGAAGCAATATGCATTATTTTACTGATGGTGTATCTAAATCTATATCGTGGGTCGCGTAACAGCACAAGAGTTGTACCTTCCTCGTACTCAGTTGAATTCATTACCACGTGGTAAGCCCTACCAGCTGTAGCATATTTTCATTCCAAACCAATCCCCGGATGCACACCATCCCGCCCCTCCTTAATTCCTGTTCCCCACCCAGCATGTTGTCAGCTTGCGCAAACTAAAACCCGTCGTGCAGCTTACCTGCAGGTGAGGCGGCATTGACCTTGGGCTGTGTCAGTGGCCCTGATCTTGACCTTGGGTGCAGGCACCACAACAGGCGACTGCCGCGTGCGGGGGTGCCTCCGGGCGCGACCATCTGCCTGCCACACCTGGTTGGCCGTAGGCGCCGACGTTATTAGCTGGGTGGTCGACGCGGAACGCTTTGTTCGCTGAGCGACGCTGGAGGCACTCACGCACAGATTTGTTTTAGAACAAGAGCGTAAACGTGAAGGAATTCGTGCTAGACGTGGCTTTAGCGTGCGGATATGCTAAAGTGTCCAGTGGTTGACAGTAAGGACGTGAATGTTTGCAATGATCCTCGGATAAGAGGATCAGCAAGAGTGAAAACTGATTCCGTTTTCGTCCCTTGTTTGGTAGTATGTTGAGCAATCGTGACTTTCGTTTCTAATGCGTGGGTTTGCGTAAGATAAAACCGGTTATGTTCTTTTAAAAGCTCCTTCGAAAAGAATGGTGGTCGGTCACTGATCTTTTCTTGCCGAAAACTAGTTTCTGTTCCTACAATCTAGTGAATGTTTGGGCCAAACAGTCTGTTGTCCAGACGAGCACTGCGATCTTTAAACCCTACATTGCAAACTTGCTTGACCTTCGTGTGTATGAGTATAAAGTATAAACCGAACTACTCGTAACATCCATTCATTCTCTGTGCGCTATTTCGAGCTCCGTTCTACAATCAACTCTAAATTTAGCATAGCGACGTAGTATAATAAAGATGATGTTGATATGCAGCTGGGAAAATTGCGAGAGATGAATGCCCAACAACTTGAGAATAGTTTGACCTTGTATGGTGTTGCTCAAGATCAGGCAACTTCAGATCAGGTCATGGTACAGATTGACGTTTCAGCATTACCGCATCATTTGGCTATACCTTAGTTGAGTCTCACCTTAAATTGGTCGCAAATTTGGCTATGCTATGCATCAAACATTCTAAAAAATAACACTAGGAGTTATGGACCCGTTGGGCGTTCATTTCAACGTCGCTGGAGCGCTAGCTAAAAAAAAAAGAGTTCATGCAATCTCTTTCCAGCCATAACCTCCCAAATATAGCTGGTAGATCCAAGGCCGCACGTGTAGATCAAGTGCCTGTCGCATCCATAGTTGAAACTCTTGCTTTGACTTTTGCCAAAGCGTAACGGCAAACGTTTCAGCGTACTCCACCCCCCCCCCCCCCCCCATCAATTATCTAAGAGTTAAGCCCTAATAAGGATAGACGGTCATTTCAACAATTCACTGCACGCATTTCGGCGGAGTTTTGCTAGTAATGAAGGCAAGCCAGATATGGAGCGACAGTTATTCTGCGCACTAATACCGGCGAGCGCTACTTTGCATTTCACGTCAAGATTGTCCCATTTTGTCGGCAATGAAGTGTTTCAGCGATTTAAATCTAAAAAATGTACATACCTATTACCTTAGCCATGACCCCTTTCCTTAGAGATAGATACCGTTATAGGAGCTAGCAACAGGAAGTCAGGGCATATTTCTTGGTTGGCAATGTAGCT